TTTCTTCAAAAAAAAAAGATGACGGCCTTGAAATATCATCATCGAACCGACCGGCCCTCGGTAATTCAGATTTTTTGAAGTGCTTAACTCATCTGCTTCCAGTGGAGTTTGCATTTAGGTCTGTGCTTCCACATTTCAGGGATGTACCGACTGAGCTAGGCCAGTTGGTCACGTGGTCTACTCCACAAAGACAGGAGGCGGGGAGTTGTTGGCCACTTCGACAAGAGTATCGACAGCGTGGCAAATCAATCGCCTACTACCGGTAGTGGTTGTTGTCTCTCCTCCTGTCGGAGTCCCGCAGGGAAAGATGGCTCCAAACCACTCGTTCAATCCTCTTAGAATAGCATTGATCCTCTTAGAATAGCATTGATCCTCTTAGAATAGCATTGATCCTCTTAGAATAGCACGAGTCCTGAAGTTAGTTTAACGTGTAGAATAGCATAAATCCGGCTAAAGGGAAAAATGGCTCCAAACGACTCGTTCGCTACTCATCTTAGAATAGCATTCATCATCTTAGAATAGCATTCATCATCTTAGAATAGCATGAATCCTGAGGTAAGATTCACTTATAGATTAGCATTAATCCTGCTGCTGAAGGGAAAAATGGCGCCAAACTAGTTCAATCCTCTCTTAGAATAGCATTAATCCTGAAGTTAGTTTCACTTATAGATTAGCATTAATCCTGCTGCTGAAGGGAAAAATGGCGCCAAACTAGTCGTTCAATCCTCTTAGAAATGGCATTAATACTGAAGTCAGTTTCACTTATACAGAATAAATAGCATTCATCCTGAAAGGGGGAACATAGCTCCAAACCACTCGTTCAGTACTCTTAAGAATAGCACTCATAGCTCCAAACCACTCGTTCAGTACTCTTAAGAATAGCACTCGTCCTGCTGAAGTTTTTTTTTTTTTTTTGGGACAAATTCTCCAGTCTGTTCCACTCACTCATCCTGAAGTTATGTGTTTCACTTATCGGGGAAACTGCACATATCCAAAATATTGGTCATCGGTTGAACTTTGAGTTTCATCCAAGTCTCTTCTTTTTACGTAGTGAACCGTATCCGTAAAGACAGTCAAATTTTTTCGAGCGAAATCGCCTTGGTGAGATTCCGATATCCCAAAGAGGCTTCGGGGTCCTTCGGGACATCCGTTAAAATTGGAACGATACAGTAAATTAGCAAATGGCCCCTGCTGCGTAAGGATGACACGCATAAATCGAGAAATGGTCCAAATTTTGTATTTTTTTTTTATTTTTTTTTTGAATATTCAAAAAAGAAAAAAAAAAAGAGGTTTCGGGTATCGCCCACGCGTTCAGAAACGGACTCTGTGCGAAACCCAAAAAGCAGGAGGACGCCGATCGGGCTCGCTCCATTACTCAGCAGCAAATGTGCAGAATCTTCGTGAATGAATCTTCGGCTAGAACATGGAAAGATACCCCGCCACGTTTTCTTGTCTTTTGTGCATTTAGTGAGTAGTGGAGCGAGGCCCGATGTCTCTCGGCTCTATCTTCCTTGCAGACAATGGGCCTTGCTGCACCACTCTCCACATGCAAAAACGACAAAAAATATGGCTCTGTATCTTTCCATGTTCTAGCCGAAGATTCACTCTCATTCTGCACATTTGCTGAGTAGTGGACCGAGGCCCAATAGCGGCCACGCACAGCTGCCATTGCCAAGTAGCACCTCCTGTCCATCGAACCGTGTCCCCTGTATCACTAACGACGATGGCGACAAAGATAATGGCAGGACCAGTTTCAACGAGCGTTTTCTTGTGACGCAAGCAGAAAATAAGCATCATCTATCTCAGTCAAAATTCGTTAGTCTATACCCTCCTCGGCCTTTTGGCTAAGGTCAAGTGTAGTATCTGTTCTGATCAGTTTCATATCTGATCCGTTGTCCATCGGACCACATAAAAAATAAAATAAATAAATAAAAATAGTTATTCCAAGCACTGTCCACACCTCTAGCCGCAATGGCGACAGAGAATGAAAGACTCTGCATAGCGTTTGCTCCAACGATGTTAACAATGTCAAATCCTTCTTATGTTAACAATCAGAGAATGAAAGACTCTGCATAGCGTTTGCTCCAACGATGTTAACAATGTCAAATCCTTCTTATGTTAACAATGTGAAATCCTTCTTATGTTAACAAAGGTATCGCATAGGACCACATAAAAAATAAAATAAATAAATAAATAAATAAAAATACTTATTCCAAGCACCGTCCACACCTCTAGCCGCAATGGCGACAGAGAATGAAAGACTGCATAGCGTTTGCTCCAACGATGCAGGTGTGGCAAAAAAAATAAAATGGTTATATAGAATACAAAAATATACAAAAAGACAGCCGGTCGGAGCGACAGAGAGAGAGAGAGAGAGAGAGATTTAGTAAGTGTGTGTGAGAGAGAGAAAGAGAGAGAGAGTGGGTTTAAAAACTAGCAAAGAGAGAGAGAGAGAGAGAGAGTCTGTGTGCGCGGGTGTCTGAGGAAATAAGTAAGAATAAGAAGGTTAGCAGCACATTCTGAACGACTATGAACAACTGCAAGTTTCGTTATACGTTATTCTCCATGTCACCTGTCACCCTCTCAGGGGGCGTACACACGTACAAAACTCGGTTCAACCCCTTGACAACGACGACCGCATACCCTCACCGCAATTTGTGTTCGTCGTCAATCACCCTCCACTCCTTTCCTCTCCTCCTTTCCTCCCCTCCTTTCTCAACCTCACTTACATACACAAGTAGCAAGGCAACAAAGAAAAAGCGATGAAACTTCATGAAAGAGAAAAGGCCAGTCTCTACCAACTAAGCTATACACCCAGAATCCAGATAGGCATAGTAGGATTTGAACCTAAAGTATCACCGTTATGAGAGGTGCGTTTGAACCACGATGAAACGAGTACCATAACAATCTGGGGTTCACGAAGCACACGGCTCTCCGTACCTGTGTGCTCAGAGAAAGAACGGCAGGGAGCGAGACAGAACCTAACTCTTATTGTTACGGCGGAGAAAGACACTAACCTCATCGAATGGTCATGAGTACATCAACAGATGATCGGCGAGACGAAGATTAACAGTATTGGAACATATGCAACGTAAAATGTGTATATACCAATCGACCACAAGGGAGATACAGCGAGACGAAGAGTATCATTCTTTTTATATATAGAGACGGGCACTATCTTGGTCGGCAGAGATCAGAGACTTAGGGCTGAGAATATCGTCCCCCCGCCACCCACCCACCCACCCACCCACCCTGTATACACCATTCGACGACAAGGGAGATACAGCGAGATGAAGATTATCTTTCTTTTTATACAGTATGTAGAGACGGAGACTATCTTGGTCGGAAGAGATCAGAGACTTCCGCCTGAGAATATCGCCCCCCTGCCACCCTCCCCGCCTCTTTGTATATACCAATCGACCACAAGGGGGAGATACAGCGAGACGAAGTCTATCTTTCATTTCATATATAGAGACGGAGACTTATCTTGGTCGGCAGAGATCAGAGACTTAGGGCTGAGAATATCGTCCCCCCGCCACCCACCCTCTCCCCCCCTCCGCCCTGCTTCCGGAAAATACAACGTGTGGAAGATGCAAATGCTTCGCGCGACGAATGGAGAAACGAGACGCTTAGAGAGAGGAGGAAAAAGAAAAAAGAAAAAAAATAGACGACGAACGGAGGAGAAGGGCTCACGCGGAACAGCCCTGATTGCCATCACGTGGAGGTGCTCGCCAGTAGGCGGAGCCTTAGCAGCAGCAAGCAGACACAGCAGACCTACACACCTCACAGTAGGTGGTGGAGCCTTAGCAGCAGCAAGCAGACTCATCAGACCTACACACCTCCCAGTAGGTGGAGACTTCGCAGCAGCAAGCAGACACTGCAGACCTACAGAGCAGCGCACGCATTCTCTGGTCTGCAGCAGCTGTCAGGTCTCTAAGCCTTTTTTTTTGTTATTAAAAACGCTGCCTTCTCCTCATCGCGGGACAGCCATGTACTTTTCTCTCACCTCACATTTCTTTCTTCCAACTGTCCCTCCTCATCGGGGGGCAGTCATGCAACATATCTTTCTTTTCACTACCTACCTACCACTACTCCTAAAGCTCTACAGGGGACCCCTGCAAGCATAGCTTCCTACCTCTCTTCGCTCAAGGGAGGTTACCTCTCTCGGTCGTTGGAGAGGGGTAACGGCATGTTTGCCCCTGCCCTATGTAGCGTTTAGGGTGCCGGGTTCCAAGTATAACCAAAGAAAACATGAAAGAAAAAAGGAAAAAAAAGAGGTTCAGTTCCTACACCAATGCACTGTTGAAATACAGACCTGAGTTCGTATCCAGGTGGCACTACCGTCTTCACCCGAATAGAACGCCCGGTAATTATCGCCGTATCTGGGCGGAAAATTGCACCAAATACGGCTATAATGACCGGGCGTTCTATTCCGGTGAAGACGGTAGCCGAATGAAACAGCATCGTTCTGAGTTACCAGCGGCGGCAGGTCAATCTGACGATGATACCTCCCAAGAGGGCGTTCCCCTTTTCAAGGAAAACAAAAAAAAAGCAGAAAAAGAACAAAGCAATAAGTTCAAAAAAAGACGAACGAAGGAAGCGCAGAGAAGAAAGAACGTGGAAGTACAAGTTCAGGTCTCCAAACAAATGAGTAGCAAGTACTCCATTGAAATGATTATATTATAAGAAGCAGGCGCGTGGAGAGAGAAACAAACATGGAGGCACAAGTACATTGTTGAACAAATGAGAAGCGCAGTACTACTATATCTTTAAAAAAAAAGAAAAGAAAAAAAATTAGTATCACGTTACACACATGGCATTCATCAACTATCCATTCATCAACTATCCATTCGTCGTTACGCCGCCGCTTTCTTATCTTAGAGTACTACATTCAATCCATATTTGACGAATCGAACAGATCCAACGCTATCAGGAAGGGAAGGAAGGATATTGCAAATGATTATTTGGCGGCGCCAACAGATTTATTACGTATTACTCACCTTGTTGCGCTACACGGAGAGGGGACGGATCGAACGGTATGACCCAATCCACGACAGCGGAGATAGCATCCGCAGGAACAGTCCGAAGGGGAGACTCTGTCGGCATTCCATGAACGTCTATCAAGTCGTCAGCTGCCAAATGCGCAGAAGCGGAAGGAGAAAAGGAGGTAGCCGACGCCGGCCGTTTTGCCGCGTAAGCGGGACGACAACTGGCAGGAGTACACGCCGCCGCCGAAAAGTCGTCAGCCATGGCCATCAGCTCACTGTGGGGATCCGCCGCCAACAACGGCCTTTCAGCATGCGATGCCAAACGAGTCGTGCAAGTTGAGCTGTGGTTCATCTTCTCCACGTTTGTTGCCATACCCATCGCCGCGTCCATTTACATAAATGCCCCTCCCTCCTGTCACTACCGCTGTCGTCTTCGGCCCGCGAGACCTCCACTCACAACCCAAGCGGTTACCTACCGGTAGTAATAAGTCCAACGGTCACTCTGTTAAAGTGGGGTGTAGAGAAAGAGGGGAGGAAAGAGTTGCTTTGGACAGGAGAAGGCGAGAGGGGGGCAACTCTGTGTGTGTGTGTGTGTGTGTGTGTGTGTGTGTGTGTGTGTATGTATATATACGCATGTACTGAACGAAGAAAAAGGGGCTGTCGAACCGATCGCTTAGTTCAAACTGAATGGATGGATCATGGCAGGATAGCAAGAAAGACGAATGAAGGGTCGGAGGATCAAGAGGAAATGTGAGAATGGAGGGAGAAAGGAAAGGGCAGGGAGGGAGGGAGGGAAAAGGGAGAGCGGGAAAACGGCGCCGATGCTACACTGACGGTCTTCACATCATTCCAAACATATATGAATAAGAAGTTAGGGAAGAGGGGAAGAGGGGAAGAGGGGAAGAAGGGACTACAGCAAGCAAGGACTAGGATATGGCGAAGATGGTAAGGACTAGGTATCTACACTCTAAACCCTCCGGACTACAGTAGGACCTCAACCTGCCTTCGAGACTCTGCCGCCGCCGTCTACCTACCCGCCGCGCACCTTCCTTCCCGCCGCCCCCGCCAAAGGTGAATTCGCCTTCGGCATCGAAAAACAAATTTGAAGCTCCGCTTCTGCAGTGGACCGTTCTGCTCTCCCGCCTCTCGGACCCCCAGAGGCGCCGGACCAACCAGTCACCGATTTTTTTTATCGGCAACAGCCTCTATTTTCCTTTCGTTTTTCCGTTCTGCCTCTCCTGTGTTTTTCATGACTCAGTTCATCTGAATCTGACTGCCAGGAGCTGAAGACACCCGCCACCACCACCAGCGAAAAAAAAACAAAAATTTACCTACAACAGCCTCTCTTTTCCTTTCCATGCATGACTCGGTTCATCCGAATCTGACTACGCCCCCGGTTTCAAACTGTGTTGTCGTGTGTTGTTCCCCCCCMCCTAAAAAAAAAAAAAAAAAAAAAAGTTAAAACTGTGTTGTTGTGTTTACTAACCGTCACATCTGTGCGCAATTCTTGGTCTGCTTTGTTTTTTTTCGCGAAGGTGGGTGGCTCCTGACTTACTCTATCTGGAGTCAGTCGAAGATCAGCTCAGCAGGCTTCATGCCTGAGTTGCACCAGGAAGGTGATAGGTTCGAGACCCACCAGCTTCAGGGGCTTGAGGATGACAGTCTGTGGGGAGTAGCAGCATTGCGCTGGCGCTGTGTTAGCGTTGTAGCACACCCCAAACAGGCCGGGAGGCGGGCTCTCCCATTCCCCATTCGACAGGCCAGTGGTGCTGGCTTGGTCGAAGGTGAAAGCCTATTGGTGGCGAAGCTGCAGATGGTGATGGCAGACTTCAGGTGCAGCGGCGGTCAGTGAAGAGGTAGTGCTGGGCGGAGGTATGACAGAAGAGAAGGGCTGACACGTTCATCAATGGTTGTCAAAGGGTGGCACAGGTCCATTGGTCATCCAGAACAGGTGAAGTTGCTATAACGAGTAAGTTTGACTGGTTGCGAGGTTGTCCCGACGTCTTCCCGATTTGCACGACTGGAGTTGAGCAACAGACTACACACAAACGTAATGGACAGTAGGATGCCATCCCTCCTGACCTACAACATCATGTGTCGAGCGTATCGGCTCCCGCCTTTCAGCAGAAGCCCTCACGACTGCATTACGTGAGAGTATTAAAAATGACTTAGAGACAACGATGAAACCCCGCACCGTCCAAGCACGGTTTTCCCCGCTCTGGTCGGGTGTGCCGTCCGTACCTCTCGCGGTCCCCTACGACAGGACCGGTTATTGCGAGGCACAACTTTTCCTTGCCTAAGAGGTTGTGACCACCCTTAGAGTCGTCCCTACCGAGCTATTAATTTAGGTTTGAAAATTTTTACATGCAATCGAAGAGGTAGTCAGTCGAGGGCGCTTGCTCGTTGTCCTCTAACAGTCACACACTCGACATGACTTTACTTTTAACGGAATAAAGCGGACGTTGCAGTGACCCTTACTCACAGTGCATCAATGTTAAAACACCACTAACCCCGCCGGCCTATATTCCTTTCTCTTGGCCTTACGGATCGAGTTCTTAAGCGGGGCCGGAGACTGGCAGGCGCAGGCAAGTCCGGCCCAAAAATTTTCAAGCGCGAACTTTGACGATTTTTCACACTCAGAACAATTGGCGAAAGAATCTTAAAATTTGAGATCTCGTAGATTAGGTTGTGATCTTTCCAGGACAAATATCAAAAAATGAAAAAAAAAAAAAAAAACGTGAATGTCACCCCGTTTCGTCACATTTTCTATTTTTATCACTTCACCACGTCTGGGCCAACGAAAAAAGTGCTCCAACTTTCGCAATTTTTGTGCTCGAAAGGATGACTTAACAACTCTAAAAAATTGAGGGTCCATAGATTTTGTCACGATCTTTATAGAAAAAATCTTTTTTTTTTTTATAATTTTAACAACAAAATAAATCGCGAGCGAAAAGGAACGTATTTTTCAATTTTGTCACTCTCCCCCACTATGCTACCAGTAACCCTCATAGACATGTGTTATCGGTCCCCCCTAATTTATGACGGCAGGGGTTGTTGTGGTTTAAGGTGTGCATAGGACAATCATACGTTGTGATCGTAATGCCATCGCGCCTAACTTTCAAAGGATTTATCGACGACGTCTTAAGACATCGAAGTTATATATGTTATTACTTAAGTAGTTTACGACAACCTGGATTTACTGCCATCGTTCGTCGCCATGGTAATTGTGTATGTGGTCCCATCGGTAAGCTTCAATCATAATTTTCGGATGTCGATAAACGTTCGAACCAAACTTTAATAAAATGTTAATCTTTCGGTCATAGGTTTAGTCTGCATGAAGTTTCAACATGTATTTCAATCTCATTAAGTCATTTATCCAAAAACTTATTTACAAATAGTCATAGATTGTTTTAAATGAATAACACTGAGAAAATATCCTTATAAGGTTTTTGCTCCAACAACTTTCATGAATCTCGTTAACGACATTCATTTCGTCTTATATAAATAAAAAATAACAATCTCTTGTATTAAAAGTTTTTATGCATTAAAATGTTAACATTTGTATAATCTTTTTCATGATTATTGTGAAATGTCTATGTAAGAGGAACAATTAGAGGAAATAACAATTTAAAAAGTATTTCATAAACAGAATTGTATTAAGTTTTCATAAGTTGGTATACAAATATCATAACAAAACTCAATCAAGCCTTTAAAAGTCGAAATACAATTGCATGTGCTTGAAACTGTCTTCAACTCTCAGAGGCCTAGAAAAAAAAAAAAATCATTTCAAATATTGAATTCATTATTAAATTAACATCAAACTAATGTTTGGAATGGTACCAGATTCAACCAATGACAATCCTAAAATTAAAACTTAGACTTTATACGCATATTTGGTCCTTGAAAACCTAAAACTAAAATATTTTTTTCATGATCGTTCCGACATCACACTAGTGGTTTTGTTCAACCTTCGACTGATACACCAACAATATTCATCTGGTTGATATAGATATATATTTCATATAGAGTGAAACATAAAGGAATTAAAAATATTTTTTGGCAAACCCAAAAATAAATCAAAAGTTACTTAGACAGAGTTTGAACTAACTAATTTCGAAAAAAAAAAAATTCTTTTAAAGTTTTTGTTTAGATTGTAAACTAATTCAAACGCTGGAGATAATATAATTTTTAATCCAATATTTTTTTTTAACCTATAAGTAACCCCAATCGAAAATATTATACAAAAACGATAAAATTCATCAAATTGTCTTTATAAAAAAAATCATATAGAATAAGGGTTTATAATTTCAATAACCATCAAAACATAAATTGTCGTAGAGATGCATAAAAATCACAAACATGCAAAAAAAAATTAAAAAAATAAAATAAAAAAATAGACAAGCGACGAAAATGAAAAAAACAAATCGAGGTAACCGGTGTTCGGGGCGGGCTGAACGCCCGAACCTGAATGCCCGAACATACGGGACTCCTTAGAGATGCGTTCAGCCGTTCAGGCCGAACGCGAACGAGAAAAAAATAATAATAATAAAAATAAAATATATATAATAAAAAAAATCTTACCTCGGCTACCAGCAAGGTCGTCTGGGTCACCCTAGTTTCGCGGATGGCCCGGTCGTGCAAGAACCAGAGTAGGGTCATAGCAAAAAAAAAAAAAAAAAAAAAACCCTTCAAAAAAACTATGTTATGCAAAAAAAATAAACTAAATAATTTTTGCCTTAGGGTCAAATAATTTTTTTTAAATATATTTAAAATAAAAAATTAAGTTAAAATCTAGGCTACGAGCCGGGCTAACCGGGTCCCTTTTTTTCCCGGGGGGGCGACTGTGCAAGGACCAAATAAGATTTCAGCCGAAAAAAAAAAAAAACTAAAAAATATTATGTTATACAGAAAAATAAACTGAACAATTTTTGCCTCAAAGTCACATCTCTTTGTAAAATATAAAATAAAAATAAAAATAAAATATATTTATTCTCTTAAAAGTTAAATTTTTTTTTTTGCCCAATCGGACAAGTGGGTCCGGGTCACTCTGTTAGCCTAGGTTAAATTTTATTTTTTTATTTTTTGGCCCGGCCGGGAAAGTGAGCGTTCGGGGTCCCGTACGGGGCCCGAACCCAGCGGCGTTCGACCCCCGCAAAAAATTATTTTGGGGCCTAAAAATAATCATTTTTTTTTTAATTGTTTTTTGTGAGTTCTTTATGACGTGAGGTACCTGCCTATAAAGTTTCAAGTCATTTGGCTCAGACAAATAGGAATTAAAAATCGCCAAAGATGGCGGTGTCAAAACGTGTTCCCCCACATATTTTTTCACTTTGTACTTTTTGTTTTCACTTTAGTTAGGGGTCTAAACAATTTTATTATTTTTTAAAACTTTTTTAGTGGGTTTTATATTATGTGAAGTACACGTCTGTAAATTTTCAGAGC